TGATATTGAAACCCTAATATCGATACTACCCATTCAGTATCGATGTTGTTCATCTGATTCATATGGTATTGATATTGTTCTTCCAATACTAATACTCTAGCCCAAAATTCACTTATTTTACTTCGAATTTAACCAAAATTTACTTAAATCTCATACTTCTAACTCCATTCATGCCCTTAAAATCATTAACACTTATCCCAACCAACTTACATCAATTAAAACCCCTTTAACATCTAAAATTCTCTATAGAACACTTAAAACTAAAATTCATACCCAATCTTCAGCATTGTTCCCAGTCCTTTCTAACACTTCAAACATCTTATTCATACATTTGACAAGTCAAATATACCTTTAAAATCCAATTACTAACCAAATTTCATCAACTCCCTTAAAAACCCATTTTACCAAATTATCATTAACTCATCAATCTCATAGTTTTTAGTCATCTTTAAGCTTCTATACCACCCAGAGATTCAAAACCAATTCAAAATTGAAAGAAACTACCAACTTCAATAATACTTACCTTAGTCATGGAGTTCACGGTGGAAGAGAAGAAAAGAAGATGAAGAGAAGAGTTTTAGGCCTTTCCTTCCTTTTTATCACATGTTATAACCTTAAAAATGAATTTTAAATTCATTTCATGTCAAAAGACCACTTTGCCCTTTCATCCTTCAAACTTTGATAATTAATCCGAAAAAATTTCCCAAATCAATCCTTGAACATTTCATTTTATCAAAATCAAACCACTAAATTTTAAATTCTTACACTTTAGTCACTGACCCAATATTTGGGATATTACACAAAGGGTCAAATATTTTTGTGTTCAATTTAAGATTCACAATGAGCATATAAAAGAATTCATAGGTCACTTTTATTTTCTTGAAAAAAATTTAAGATCTCATACATAAATTTTTTTTGCATAAATTGTTTTTGAAATGGTTATTTTGTATTGTAATGAAAGAAGACCATACAATACAAGGTACAATTCATCGGTCTCGTTAAAAAACATTTCTAATCCTAAATAAAGTAACAAGAGTGCGCCATGAAAGTACCAACGAGGGGTACTCGATATTACAAGAACACAAACAAATCAAATTAGCATATGCCAACGAAACACGCGCGCAAAATCCGTCACACAAGACAACAGAGAAGGCCTCTCAGCAAACCAAAATTACAAAATAAGTCTTACAGCATTCGGGCACAACCGACTCGAGTGCACCAATTTTTAAAATCTATTATTTTTTATTTTTAAATATTTATAAAGTAAATCAATAAAAATAATAATAAAAAATTAATCCGAACGAATTTTTATATCTACGCTATATATCTTGTAAATGATAAAAGTATTTAAATATTATATTATAGATTTTAAATTAAAGAAATAGATGATTATTATAAAAAAAACAAGTTTATTGGTTGGTCCAGATCCAATTGGGTTGGCCCATACCAGCCGTTATACAGATAAAAATTGGGGTAAACTACACAGGAGACCACTAAACTATGGTCAAAAATCAATGTGACTGCCGAACTTTCAATTGAATCAATCAGACCTCCCAATTATTTAATTGATTCAATCAAACCACCGGCCGTTAATTTTTAACAGAGGTGATTAGCATAATTATATATTTGGTCCTTAATATTTACATATTTTATCAATTTAGTCACTATTTTAATTCAATTAAATAAATTTAACTATCCAATTAGAACATGACACGTGTCAATACATGATTGGAAGGTTTTATTTATGAATTTTAAATTATTTAATTAAATAATTTTTCTATCTAATCAAGTGGTAACACGTTTCATATTAAAATAAAAATAAAGGGACCAACATGCTTGCAACTAAACCATTGGCCAAAGGTCTCAATAGTTTAAACTTACAACAATTTGTATTTGACTTGTAAAAGTTTGTTAATGATAAAAAAATTAAACAAATTATTATTTAAATTAATTGTAAACTATTTTTTAATTAAAAATATTCAATTTTTATATAAATTAGAAAATTTTAAAAATTTTCGTTAATTCAAAAATTGATCGAATTAACCTAAATTTGTACGGTTTAGTTAATAATTTTAAAATAAATTTTGGTTCGATTAATGGTTAAAGAAAAAATCGGTTATTTTGGTTTGGTTAATAATTTTCAAATAAAATTTTGTTCAATTAACGGTTAAAGAAAAACATTTGGTTAATTCGGTTTGGTTAATCAAACCAAAATTTATTTGAAAATTATTAACCGACCCAAATTAATTTGAAAATTATTAATCGAACCGAATTTTTTTAAAAAATTATTAACCGAATTAATCAAAAAAAAAATTCGGTTAATCGAACCAAAATTTATTTGAAAATTTTTAACCGAACCGAATTAATTTGAAAATTAATAACCGAACCGAATTAATTTGAAAATTAATAACCGAACCAAATTAACTGATTTTTTTTAAATTCTTAACCGAATTAATCGAAGCAGAAAATCAGTTAATTCGGTTCGGTTAATCAAACCAAAATTTATTTGAAAATTATTAACCGAACCGAATTAATTTGAAAATTTTTAACCGAACAGAATTAACCGAATTTTTTCTTTAACCATTAATCAAACCGAAATTTATTTGAAAATTATAAACCGAACCGAACAAATTTTGGTTAATTCGGTCAATTTTCGAATTAAGAATTTTTTTTAAAAATTTTATAATTTATATAACAATGGAATATTTTTAATTAAAAAACAATTTACAATTAATTTAAATAATAATTTATTTAAACAAATAATTCGTTTAATTTTTTTATCATTAACAAACTCTTACAAGTCAAATATAAATTGTTGTAAGTTTAAACTATTGGAGATATTTGGCTTAATAGTTTGGGCGCCTAGTAGTTATTTTTACATAAGTTCGATTCCCCTTGTAAGCATGTTGGTACCTTGTAATCATGTATTGACATGTGTCACTTTCTAATTGGATAGTTAAATTTATTTAATTGAATTAAAATAGTGACTAAATTGATAGAATATGTAAATATTAAGGACCAAATATATTATAATTATGCCAATTTTATTAACGGACACGTCACCACATCTGTTAAAAATTAACGGTCAATGGTTTAATTGAATCAATTAAATAGTTGGATAGTCTGATTAATTAAATTAAAAGTTCAGTTGTCGCATTGATTTTTACCATAGTTTAGTGGTCTCCCATGTATTTTATCCTAAAAATTGACTAAACAAAGAAGAATTGTGTTTCATGTTATCTAAATAAAATACTTTTATTTGAAAGAAAAAACAAAATAACTTTTTTTATTTCATTGCCGTCTCTTTTCCGGGTCACTGAATTGGGGTTGAATCCAACCAATCATGCATGAACAGGTGGATGAGAGATCATGAAATGATCTAACGGCTTAAAACAAAAGAAAGACTTGATATTATTATACTAATTCTTTTGTTGACTTGACTGACCTCCCGTAGTTGACTTGTGATATTTCCTGGCTATTACTAGCTTAGTTTTCTTCACCGCGTGCTGTGGAGAAATTAAATTTAAAGTATTCTTCCCTAAATTTTCATTGTTTTCAGTTTAGTCATTCATGGTATGATTTTGGCTGATACTAAAAGAAATCAATTAAATGAAAGGACGCAGTTAGGATTCCAACTCAAGAAGGATAAAATATAATTTTATTGAAATTAAGAGATAATTTATAATTATATCATAAATATTTAAATTATATGTATATTAAATATAAAAAAATTTATCTGGTTGGAGGGTCACACCCCTCTTATGTATATAATATATCCGTCCCTGATTAAACGATTCATCTTATTTACAATTTCAAAGAAACATATACTAGCTAATTAAAATATTTATGGTTTAGTCATTATTTTTTTATTAAATAGAGAGGTGTTATATTTTCAAAATAAATATCATGATTTATATTTATACAAAATAGAATAATTTGAACATTTTTAATCATGACCAATTAATAGATTAATTAAATCATTATTTTTCATATTTGTTTATTGCTCATTGTTGTTAAATTATTCTACTTTTACACGTCAACCGTTCAAAGTCCTAAAATTTTGATTAAGGGTAATCTTGTTATCATACTGCACAAAACTTAACGGTATCGTATTCTTAGACAATTCATTATTATTTTAATTATATTAGAATTGAGTTACAAGTTTTAATTTTTTTTTTGATGGCGTGGGGTACACGTCGGAGAAGAAGCATAAAATTTACAGTATTTCTATACTTTTTTCTTTTTGTCTTGGTCACTGATGAATTTGTTTTTTCAAGAAAATATCATTAAAATGTATATAAGCCATTTTTCAATAAAAGAAACGGGAAAATATCATTAAAACGATCGCTTTCTATTGTATAATTTCTTAGAGCAAATGAGTTGGGAAAAAAATCTTATTCGTAACATAAAAGTAGGAGTGAGATTTATTTTCCTATAAAATGTAATTAATTTAATTAATTAAGAGATGTGTAAAAAATATGATAATAAAAGAGAATGGTAAACTACACATTTAGTAACTTAGTTATTACTTTTATTTTGTTTTGGTCACTTAACTATTTTTTGTTTCAAAATCATACCTAACGTTGTATTTTAGTTTTATTTCAGTCACTCACCGTTAAGAAATTAATAGTGATGTTGATGTGTCGTCATAAAGTAATGTTATGTTATCATTGAAAATTTTTTAAATATTTCACATCAGTAATTTTATTAATCTTTTAACGGTAGTAAATAAAATGAAAGTAAACCTATGATTAAGCATGATTTTGAAGAAAATAATAGTTAAGTGACTAAAACGAAATAAAATTAATAATTGAGGTATTAAACCTGTAGTGTACCCAAAGAGATTAGAGTGAAGCAAAGACGAATAGTTATTGTCAACATCCGAGTCGAAAGTGAGAAATGAACCCTAATGGGCTCCACAAAACGACATTTTTTCCACGCGGTTTTTGCTTATTATAAACAAACAAATTATTATTATGAATCAATAATCTTCACCAACTCCTTAATCTGCCGGAAATGGCATTCTCTCCGGTCTACCTCAAATACCGCCACCACTTCCCACTTTTCCTCATTCTTCTCTCTCTCTTCCTAATCTCCCATGCAAGACTAACTCTTGACCATTCCGACTCAAAGGCTCTTGCCGCAATTCTTCAAGACTTGGGCATCACCGCTCAAAGGTTCCCCGCCGCCAATCCCTGCGGTACCGCCGGAGTTTTCTGCGAGAGACGCCTTTCCGAAAACAAAACTTACGTTCTCAAAGTCACAAGGCTTGTCTTCAAATCCCAAACACTTGATGGGTCTTTGTCTCCTGCAATTGGGAAGCTCTCGGAGCTCAAAGAGCTCTCAGTTTCTCACAACAGACTCGCCGATCAATTCCCGCCGGAGATCGTTCACTGTAAAAAGCTCGAAATCCTTGACCTCGGGAACAACACGTTTTCCGGTCAGATACCGTCGAATTTGTCTTCTTTGGTCCGCCTTCGAGTTCTCGATTTATCTTCCAACAAGTTCACCGGCGACTTGAGCTTCTTGAAGTATTTTCCCAATTTGGAAAACCTCTCCCTTGCCAGAAATCTGTTTACCGGGAAAATCCCGTCGTCTATACGTTCATTCCGAAACCTCCGGTTGCTTGACTTGTCGGAGAACAACCTGCTGGAGGATAATTCAGCTCCATTGATGAACGAACTCGATGAGTTTGCAGTCTCTCAGTACCCCAAACGGTATAGTTTTGCCGAGAAGAAATCAAGAAACGGTACTGCTCAGGCTCCATCACCAAACGGAAGCAAATCTGCAAGTGCTGAAGGTCCCAGTTCATCACCAGGAGATCACCAGGGACACAAACATAAGACAAAAAGGGCAGTGGAATGGATCTTGGGATTCTTCGCTGGATCTGTAGGTGGTGGAATATCTGGGTTTATCTTCTCCCTAAGTTTTAAACTGGTGTTGGCGTCCATTAGAGGAGCTGGAAAAGATCGCGGTCCATCCATATTCAGTCCGTTGATTAAGAAAGCTGAGGATTTAGCTTTTCTAGAGAAAGATGACGGTCTGGCTTCATTGCAGATCATAGGGAAAGGAGGGTGTGGTGAAGTTTATAAAGCTGAATTGCCCGGAAGTAATGGCAAATTGATTGCCATCAAGAAAATCATTCAGCCCCCAAAAGATGCAGCCGAATTAACTGACGAAGACAGCAAGCTTCTACACAAGAAGATGAGACAAATCAGATCAGAAATCACAACTGTCGGCAAAATCCGACATAGGAACCTTCTTCCTCTCTTGGCTCATGTCTCTCGACCCGACTGCCACTATCTGGTGTATGAATTCATGAAGAACGGAAGCTTGCAGGACATTTTACAACAAGTTTCGCAGGGTAATATGGAGCTGGATTGGCTTGCTAGGATGAAGATCGCCAAAGGAGTGGCTGCCGGGCTCGAATATCTCCACATGAGCCATAGTCCTCGAATCATTCATCGAGACCTCAAACCGGGGAACATCCTTCTCGACGATGAAATGGAAGCCAGGATCGCCGATTTCGGGCTGGCAAAGGCGATGCCGGACGCCTGCACGCATGTGACCACTTCGAATTTGGCTGGGACCGTGGGGTATATAGCACCTGAATATCATCAAACACTGAAGTTCACCGACAAATGTGATATTTATAGCTTCGGGGTGATACTGTGTGTTTTGGTGATGGGAAAGCTTCCGTCGGATGAGTTCTTTCAGCATACTGAGGAGATGAGCTTGGTGAAATGGATGAGGAACATCATGGTTTCGGACAACCCCAAGCAAGCCATTGACACTGAGCTGATTGGGAAAGGGTCTGAAGAACAGATGATTCTGGTTTTGAAGATTGCTTATTTCTGCACTTTGGATGACCCAAAGGAGAGACCCAACAGTAAAGATGTTAGATGCATGCTGTACCAGATCAAGGGCTGAAATGTTGTAGCCGACTGATCAATTATGTTACCAGATTGTGATTTGGTTTATGTTTTAATCTTCTTTTGCTGCGTATATTATCTTTAATGTAAGCAGTTATTCCACCCTTGTAAGATTTTAATTATTGCTTTGTTAAAAGAATAGTCCCAAAATCTTATAAAATCTGGACTACGATGGACCGTTTAGACGATTTTGCAATTTGAAGAAGAAAAAGATGAGTTCGTGAAACATGTTAAATTTAACAACTATGGAATTTTTGTGGATTCAAATGAGAGAAAAGCTTTATAAAACGAGACAAATAGGGATGTGGGACAGGCTTGATATTTCTCTCTCGAAAGGGACATAGAAGATTTCATTGTATAGAGAGAGGTTTAGTTGAATTAAGAAGAGAAATATTATATTTTTAAAATAAATGCTACAATTAAGTGAGAATTTGATTAATCTTAAGGGTAAATTATACATTTAGTATATAAGTTATCAATTTTGATTCGTTTTAGTACTAAACTTTCAATTTTTTTCAAAATCATAAGTTTTTATTTCATTTTAGTACCCAATGTTTAAAACTTAACGCGCTTAGTACCTAAACTATTAATTTTGGTCCATTTTAATACCTAAACTTTCAATATTTTTCAAAACTTAACGTTAAATTTTAGAGAAAATAACCTCAGTGACCAAAAATCCCATATAATATACGATTTTAACCAACTTTTTCCGGATTTGCCAAAATGACCAACAAAATCGCAATGCGATCGCTAATTCGCAACGCGATCTCCATTATCGCAAATTCGCGTTGCATTTTCGCAATGCGATAGTTGAAAATCGCGTTGCGATGGTCTACAGTATCGTTGCGATTTTCCCAATTCGCAATGCGAATAAGTAAATCGCAACGCGAATTGGGAAATTCGCAATGCGAATAAGTAAATCGCAATGCGAATTGGGAAAATCGCAATGCGATAATAAAAAATCGCAACGAGATACTTACTTTCGCAACACGATACTGACTTTCGCAACGCGATTTACTTAGCGCCATTCGTATTAACGCGTATTTTTTTTTTTCAAATTCCAAACACGTATTTTTTCTAATAAATCGAATGAACCGTCCACAGTAATCGCAACTCATAACCTCAAACCCAAAACACAACACTCAGTCCCATCTCCATCTCTCACTCTCTACGGCGAAATCCGTCCCCATCTCCGAAGATTTCCGTCCCCATCGCCGGCGAAATCCCTCACAACCATTCACAGTCAAAAATCCCTCACAATCATTCAGAAATGGAAAATCAACCTCCGAGGGTTAGTTTTTTTTATTTTTATTTTGAAATTTTTGCATTATTTTAGGTTTTTCATATTGAGATTGATGATAAGTTTACTGGTAATTTCAATAATAGATTAACCATTTCACTTAGATTTCTTATTAAATTCATTCGATTGCTGCCAATACTGCTAAACTGTTTAGCCTGTGAAGTTAGTATTTGTCTTTGCTTTGTCTTTTGGTTGAAGTAATGCAGAAGAAGAATAGTTTCGAGAATGAGAATCGCAACGCGGAAATGACTATCGCAACGAGATAATCGCAACGCGAAATAAAAATCGCAACGCGAAACCAAAATCGCATTGCGATTTTCATTTCGCGTTGCGATTTTCATTTCGCGTTGCGATTTTAATTTCGCGGTTGCGATTTTCATTTCGCGTTGCGATTGTCTGGTCGCGATAGTCATTTCGCGTTGCGATAGTCATTTCCGCGTTGCGATTCTCATTATCTCGTTGCGATTTTCATTTCAACCAAAAGACAGAAACAGTGTTGCAAATTTTAGTTTCAAGAAAACTACTATTTATGTTTATTGTTTTGTTTTTGGTATATCTTCACAGTGTAATTTTTGGTATATCTAACTTGGTATGTTTATTGTTTTTTTGTAGAAATTTTTTTCGGCTTCATTGACATTAAGGAATAAAGTTAGCCTAGCCACTACAATTGCTTCGAAGCTTTCACCTGCACAAAGAAATTGTTTGAAGAAACCTGCTTCGGGCCATGGCTGAGAGTACAGCATCCGGGTGGAGATGCTAGTTTGACCCATTTGTGGCTTCAGACCATGACTAGCGATCTACCCGACAGTATACAACGTGGTGAGGAAGAGATATGGTTTCATTTTCCACCGGCGTATACTTGTTTTGGGCGGAAGGAGTTCTGCTTAATCACTGGTCTACGATTCGGACACGATGATGTAGGCCGGTACACTCGTCATATCACCCGCCCATCATGGTTATCCAGGGTTTTTCCTGATGAGTCAATAGAGAAGCCGAACTTACACGTCGACGACATGAAGAAATTGTTTAATAAGAAAGATGGTTTTACTCGGATGAATGACGTCGATGTTGTCCGAGTATGCCTTATACTACTTTTGTATGCCGGCTTTCTAGGTAGAGAGGCCAGACAACCTATTCCTCAGGAGCTAATATTATTGGTAGAGGACCTAAATGCATGGAATCTGTTTCCGTGGGGTTTGTATATATGGAAAGCTACCTGGACTAAGTTGTCGTCTGCCTTTGATGACCGCAAAAGTTTGCGGGGCGATGGGTCGAAATACACTTTGTCAGGCTTTGTTTGGGCCTTTAAGGTAAGAATTTCTATATAATGTTTTCAAAATTATAATTAATTATTTAACAATTACTAATGTTTGTTATTATATTGTTTGTAGATTTGGATATTCGAGGCTTTCCCCAGCATGCGGACATATGCATTAAAATCCTCAGATGATATTCCTAGGGCTATTTCCTGGAAGAGGAAACGTATGTTGGATTGGGAAGACTTAATACCATATGCGACAATAATAATGTAAGTTAACACAAATACTATCATATATAAACAAGTTATTAATAGTAGACGTTTAACTTTGTTTTAGTTTTTATATTATTAGGAGGCCAACACTCCATTAATGAGACTGACACCCACGGAGGCTGAGCTTGCCACTGATTGGTGGCAAGCTAGTCAGCGTTTTTTTGATGGCACGAATGATGAGCAGCCTCCACTTCCTCCACTTCGAGAGCCATCACTCACCCAGAGCCATCACCTGATCGACCCGACTATACACCTCTACAACGAGAGCCATCACCTATCCCGTCACATCATCGAGTCTCTTCTCCACCATCACCTCATGATAGGCGACCGACAAAGATGCCACGACTTCTATCTCCCTGTTCTCCACCTCCACGGGATGAGTCAAGGGAGTTACGTGATGAGGTCAATGCCTTGCGTGAGGAGATCGGTACTCTACGCGATAACGATGGTGCATGGCGTGTAGGTGTCTACTTTACGTGGTGAGGTTGCCGGTCTACGTGAGATGGTAGTATCGTTGCAGAATGAGGTTCATACTCTACGCAACGAGGTAAGTTTAAGATTTTCCATATTTAACTTGATGATAAATTTACTCGTAATTTCACTTAAATTAACCATTTCACTTAGATTGCTTAGTAAATTTATTCGGTTGCTGCCAAACTGCTAAACTTTTTACTTTAACACTGTGAAGTTAGTATTTGTCTTTGTTTTGTCTTTTGGTTGAAAGTTTGAAATATATTTATCTTTGTTTTCACTGTTTAAATATCATGTTTGTTTATTTACTGATATTTGTATTTTTATTTAGCGGACCGATAAGGTGGATGCTTTACGTCGGGTTTTTCTTGCACGACAGAGTTCACGCATCAGACGGCGTGCACGTGCTATTAGTCTCCGTATACCCCAATAGTGCGAAGACACCGCAAAAAGAAGCTCGACTCGCCTATCATCCCTCAAGAGTCCACTCCTATCGTTGAAGAGGCCCCTATCATTCCTCGAGAGTCCCCTCCCACCGTTCAAGAGGCCACTGTCATCGTTGAAGAGGTCCCTCCCCCATTCAAGAGCCCGATTCACATGGCGTCATATGTAGGATTCTTGAGAAACCCTCTGACGTGCCGGACATGATGGATTCAAGTTGGCTCTCGTATGAGTTACCGGCCAGTACCATACCGGTATCTGAAGAGGAGAGGAAACAACTACCGGACACAATTCTGGATAACACCCTTTGGGCTAAGACCGCAGTTGATTTTTATCTACACGAGCGAAGCCAGGGGTGTTTCACTGACATATGCAAGCTCAATGATGATATCTATTTGTTGCTTGATCGGTCTTGGTGGGGCGTATTATTAGGGGTCGAAGACAATGGCTATTTCGATGGAGGGGTAAGTCTTATATTTTTCTTATATTTTCATTTGATTAATTTGTTTAAAAATTAATGTAATTCACTAATATGTATTTTTTTGTAAAACAACATATCGATGCGTGGGTGTCACGTCTACTAATAATTAGGAAACTTAAGGAAAATAAAAGAAATACACGGTATACAATAATGCCGACGGCTTTTAACGCAGTTCAATTGAAGAATCAACGAGATGAATCATTTGCGTTGGGCAATGGACAAGCTAAACTTTATCCTGCATGGTGGGAGGTCGATAAGGTTAGTGTTTATTTTAGATTGAGTTTAAAGGTATTCATAAATAAGTGCGCAAATGAATGAATTATTACTTATGATTGCAGGTGTTTATCCCTGTTTTGGAACGTAACCATTGGCTTCTCGTCGAGCTTCAGATCCCATCCCTTAAGGCAATAGTATATGACAGCATGATAAATTACATATCATTGGCTGATTTAAAAGATATTATTAAGGGATGGAGCTCTTATTTGGCTAAATACTTGGATGCGATAAATTATTGGACTCGTTCTGGAAACAAGAAGCCAAAGAAGCTCAATATTACAGTTAGCAGAGACGAGACCGCACCACAACAAACGAAAGGACCCAGAGGGGATTGTGGTCCTCTCGTATGCTTGGCGTTGGACCGTTTGATCACAGGAAGTATAAAGTATCTACCTCCCACCGATATAGATAGAGCTGCAGTAGGCTTGTGGTTTCGACATTATATGGCTAGATCGATATATATGAGACACTGCCTACCTGCATCCGCGTTATAAAAATGTCCATAAACAATTGGTATGTTTATAGGCTTGTGGTTTGAAAATGTTTGGTTAAGTACCTAGAATTCAATAATTTGCTGTTTGTAGGTTTTAGATGTGTAGAAAGTGTTGTTTGAGCAAATGTTTGGTTTATGCAGGTTAATCTCAGAAGTGAGCTGCGTGAAAATGATGTATGGCTGCAAAAGTTGATTCAATAGTAGAAGTGTTATTTTCTCTAATAATTATTGCTTATTTTTTTATTGTTTAATTGATTTGTAAAATGTGATTTGTAAAAGTTGATTTGTTTAATTGATGTTAACATAATTCTTATTTGTGCTTGTTTAATTGATTGAAATGTAATGGTTGATTTTGTTGATTTCAATATGCATTATGTTGAAGGCAAAAAGTACTATCGCAATGCGAAATGAAAATCGCAACGAGAGAATCGCAACGCGAAAATGAAAATCGCAACGCGAAATTAAATTCGCGTTGCGATTTTCATTTCGCATTGCGATTCCCTCGTTGCGATTTTCATTTCGCATTGCGATAGTAATTTCCGCGTTGTGATGGACATTAAGATGATTGCCTATTAAGTGATAACAACTGGAACAGATCATAGCAATTTTCAAACTCAAGTTACTAATACATGCCTAACTGAAAATGTTAAAAGTTCACACATAAAATCTACATAATACAACGTTTGCATTTAAAAATCACCTAAGTTAACAGACCCAAAAGGTGAAGCCAGTTGTGATTGGGATTTTAAAGATGATTGCGATTTTGATTGCCTTTTTCTTGACACCATATGAGCTTTGGATTTTGATGATGATCCATATTTTGGTAGAGGAAAAGATGATTGTGATGGCACTGGTGATCCACATGTCAACCTTGTATGACCACTTTCCTTGCACCGACTACATGTCGATCTCTTCTTCTCTTCACCCTTAGACGGTATACGATCGTGACTTTTTGGTCGGCCAGGTAGCCTTCTGTCCATGGTTGGTGGCAAAACTGTTTGTAAGTTATCTGGTATGTCCCACTCAGAAGGATGTGAAATAGGGTAGACAATCTCGGCATAAGTCTGTCGATATACTTCTGTAGTGTAGCAATCCATAGCGTATGTGCTTGAATCATCTTGGTTTAGATGAAGAGCAACTTTTATAACATGGCCACATGGATAACCAGATGTTTGCCATTTCATACAACTACACGTCCTTGCATTTAGATCGACAAGCCCATTTAAGTTATTATCCAGTACTTCAAACAAAGTGTTTGAACATGGTTCAACTCTCCATGACGTTGACTTCACAACACGTTTCGTTATCTTTTTTCAGTCCATGGTGTAACACGATGTTCCAATGTTCCTGTAAATTTAAATAAATAATACTTAGTAAAATATATCCCAATGTTCCTGTAAATTCAAAGAAATAATACCTGCATGGTTTCTTTTCTTGTAGTACCACTGTTGAATAGAGGCTCGAAAAAACTCCATTAACATAGTAATGGGTAATTTCCGGGAATGACGACTTAGAGCGTTAATTGATTCTGCACTATTAGACGTCATGAAACCATATCTTGCTCCAAGTTGATGTACTCTTGACCATCTTTCAAACCCGACATCTTCTAGTGTTTGAGCACACTGAGGCAAAACACGTCTTAAACAGTTTATATGCTTATTGAAATCCACTTCCCGATAAGCCTTTACAGCCTTCCAGTATGTCCATTTGTGCTTTTTTATACCAGCAGACCTTGATTTTAGATTTCTATACAAATGAACACCACAAAGTCCATGAAAAGCATCTGGGAAACACCTTCTAACAGCGTTGTCAATTGAGTTTGCCCTATCGGATATGATTGTCAGATTGCTAATAGGACCTATGCAATCCCTAAGATGCCCCATAAACCATGTCCATGAATCAGAGGTTTCAGATTTGCCAACCCCGTAAGCTATTGGCAATATCCCATTGTTAGCATCCATGGCTACTGCTAATAAGTTTACTCCAAGGTATCGACCTTTCAAATGTGCTCCATTAACTATAATAACTGGGCGCATGCAAGTAATAAACGAACGAATCTACAAAATAATATACACAAGAAATATAATCATTTAAATTTTAAATGCAAGTAACTAACAGAAATGAGTCAACAGAATTATATTGATTTACTAACCGCAGCACCAATGGCGATAAACAGCAACTCAAAGCGTCCATCTCTATCTGTTTTGATATGAGTTACCGACCCAGGATTTTTCAGCTTTAAATTATGACAATAAGCCGGCAGTTGGGCAAACGATGCTTCTGGCGACCCCCTCAACAATTCCAAGGCATAACATTTGGCTCTCCAAGCTTGAGAATATGATATACTAATCTTGAACCGAGCATTCATGTCAGTCATAATTTCATGTCCCCGATATACCCTGCCATTCAAAAACATTAACTCAGCCAGAAAACCACCCAACACTTTTTTGTTTGCCTGTCTATGGTGAGGAAAAACTTGGGTTCTTGAACATGTATGTTTATCAATAAAGGTCCTAACTTGAAACATTGCGCAATCTTTTATCCTCTTTGCAATCATACGCCACGTACAGTTTTTGTCAATCGTACACCTTGTTTCGAAACGATCTTTGCTTGATTGTTAACTTTTAGTTGATAGCCATCTTCCACACATTTCGTATACAAAGCTATCTTCAAGTCTTCCTTTGTATCAAAACAATCATCTTTCTTGATACGAATAACTTTTGTGTAACAATCAACTGCTTTCTTTGCCAACTCTTCTTCCGGTACTGAAGTAATTCTGGCATATTCCAGTTATACTCCCGTGGCATTTTCTTTTCTTCGGGGACTTTTTCTTCTTCTTTTTCTTCTTCAGGATTATATGAATTACAGAATGGATGTTCAACATGTTCATTCACAGTCGTAACTTCCTCCTCATTATCATCAACAACATCTTCCTCGACAACGGGTGTTTCATCATCAAAATTCGGGTATTGACCAATATCAAAATCATTACACGCAGGGTCTGTTTCTTCTTCTGAAACATCATCAAAATTCGTGTATTGACCAATATCAAAGTCCGGGTATTGACCAAGATCAAATTTTGAATACTGACTAGTACTCACAATTTTTTCTCTTGGCTCATCATCGTCTAATTGGTCAATACGAAAACCGGAATTTGGTGCTGAAAGTTGATTTGGATTTGGATTAGAGAAAAGCTGTGGGTTTTGAGACCCACTTAGTTGATTACTACCCGCTACTGACCCAACAATACTACTTCTAGGTTCAACAACATACAATGTAACATCATCACTTGAAACATTAATGTAAGCAATGAATCGTTCAACATCTTCATTGTCGGTTAACAAATAAACTTTACCATTTCTCTGATAAGATAGCCTAAATCCACTTAGGGGCTCTAAATTCAATTTTTTTGAAACACGTAACATTAGGGTTTCATAAGTTAACTTCTTTAATGACAGTTTTAGTTGAAGATTCATGGGTAAAGGCATATATTGTAAAACACCATGAACATTCTCCCATGACCCTCCAAAACACAAATCTATCCAAACATGATCAACATTAGATGATTTCATGGTTGTAACTAAACAAACGAGATGCGAAACTAAGACCTGTTGCCGGATGGGGAAGGATGTCGTTGGATATTGGAACGGATGTCGCCGGAGAGAGTGATAGATGGAGATGGAATGAGTTGCGATTTAGGGATTTAGGTTATGAGTTGTTGCTGCTGCGTATATATACATACACAAAAAATTTGGCTTGCGAAACTAAAACCTGTTGCGAACTTTGAAACTCGCATTGCGATTTTGTATTATCTCGTTGCGAAAGTCAGAATCGCGTTGCGAAAGGCAATCATTTTACCATCGCAATGCGAACTGCAAATCGCAACGATAGAATCGCAATGCGAAATGAAAAAGGCAACGAGGATTAACATGCATAAACTTTTAACAATTATTATTGAATTCTAGGTACTTAACCAAACATTTTCAAAACAAAAGGAGTATATATGTTAACAAAACTTGCATTATGTGTATTTTATGTGTGCACTTTTAACATTTTCAGTTAGGCATGTATTAGTAACTTGAGTTTGAACATTGCTATGATCTGTTCAGTTGTCATCACTTAATTCATTTGACTATCACAACGCGAAAATGGTTATCGCAACGAGAAAATCGCAATGCGAAATGAAAATCGCATTGCGATTTTCTCGTTGCGATAACCATTTCGCGTTGCGATAGTCTGTTTTGCCTTCAACATAAAGCAGATTGAAAATCAACAAATCAACTATTACATTTCAACACAAATTATGTACACATCAATTAAACAAATCAACATTTACAAATCATCTTTTACAAATCAATTAAACAATCAAAAAATAATAATAATTCTTATTTCTTCATCAATTATTGAATCAAGAATCAACAACTTTGTGACCCCGTACATCCATTTCACGCAGCTCACTTAAGGATTAACCTGCAGAAACCAAACATTTGCTCAAACAAGACTTCCTACACATCTAAAACCTACAAACAGCAAATTATTGAATTCTAGGTACTTAACCAAACATTTTCAAACCAAAAGGAGTATATATGTTAACAAAACTTGCATTATGTGTATTTTATGTGTGCACTTTTAACATTTTCAGTTAGGCATGTATTAGTAACTTGAGTTTGAACATTGCTATGATCTGTTCAGTTGTCATCACTTATTAGACATTCATTTGACTATCGCAACGTGAAAATGGCAATCGCAACGCGAAAATGGTTATCGCAACGAGAATATCGCAACGAGAATATCGCAACACGAAATGAAAATCGCATTGCGATTTTCTCGTTGCGATTTTCATTTCGCATTGCGATTTCATTTCGCATTGCGATTTTCTCGTTGCGATAGCCATTTCGCGTTGCGATAGTCTGTTTTGCCTTCAACATAAAGCAGATTGAAAATCAACAAATCAACTATTACATTTCAACACAAATTATGTACACATCAATTAAACAAATCAACATTTACAAATCATCTTTTACAAATCAATTAAACAATCAAAAAATAATAATAATTCTTATTTCTTCATCAATTATTGAATCAATGAATCAACAACTTTGTGACCCCGTACATCCATTTCACGCAGCTCACTTAAGGATTAACCTGCAGAAACCAAACATTTGCTCAAACAAGACTTCCTACACATCTAAAACCTACAAACAGCAAATTATTGAATTCTAGGTACTTAACCAAACATTTTCAAACCAAAAGGAGTATATATGTTAACAAAACTTGCATTTGACTTACCAATTAACAATGGACACTTTCATAACGCGGATGCAGGTAGGCAGCATCTCGAATATATTGCTCTAGCCATATAATGCCGAAACCACAAGCCTACTGCAGCTCTATCTCTATCGGTGGGAGGTAAAAACTCTTTGCTTCCCATCGTCAAACGCGCCAAGCAAAGGCATACGAGAGGACCACAATCCCCTCTGGCTCCCGGCGATTGCTGTGGCGCGGTCTCGTCTCTGACAACTGTGACATTGAACTTCTTTGGCTTCTTGTGTCCAGAATGACTCCAATACTTAATCCCATCCAAGAATTTAGCCAAATGAGAGCTCCATCCCTTGAAAATATCTCTCAAATCAGACTGTGATATGTAATTGATCATGCTGTCATACACTATTATCTTCAGGGATGGGAGCTGAAGTTGGACGAGAAGCCAGTGACGACGTTCCAAAACAGGGATAAACACCTGCGATCATAAGTAATAATTCATTTATTTGCGCACTTATTTATTAACACCTTTAAAAAATTTAAAAAATTAACACTAACCTTATCGACCTCCCACCATGCAGGATAAAGTTTAGCTTGTACATTGCCCAACAAAAATGATTCATCTCGTTGATTCTTCAAGTGAACTGCGTGAAAAGCCGTCGGCATTATTGTATATAGCGAATTTTTTTTATTTTTCCTAAGCTTCCTTATTATTAGTAGACGTAACACCCATGCATCGATATGCTGTTTTACAAAAAAATACATATATTAGTGAATTACATTAATTTTTAAACAAATTAATCAAAATCATATATAAGACAAATATAGTAGCCACTGTCTTCAACCCCTAATAGCACACCCCACCAAGACCGATCAAGCAACAAAAACATTTCATCGTTGAGTTTGCTGATGTCAGTGTAACACCCTTGGCTCCGCTCATGTAGATAAAAATCAACTGCGGTCTTAGCCCAAAGGGTATTATCCACAATTGTTTCCGGTAGTTGTCTCCTCTCCACTTCAGATACCGGAAGGGTACTAGCCGGTAACTCATACGAGAGCCAACTCTCATCCATCATGTCCGGAACCGGTGGGGGTTTCTCAATACTTCGATATATTACCCCATGTGAATCGGGCTCTGGAATGGTGGGAGGGACCTCTTCAACGATGACAGTGGCCTCTTGAACGGTGGGGGGGAATCTTGAGGGAGAATAGGGGCCTCTTGAACGATTGGAGGGGACTCTTGAGGGATGACCGGTGAGTCGGGCTTCTTCTTGCGGAGTCTTCGCACCATTAGGGTGAACGGAGACGTAATAGCACGTCCACGCCGTCTGATGCGTGAACTCCGTCGTGCAAGGAAAACCCGACGTAAAGCATCCACCTTATCGGGCCGCTAAAAAAAATTAATACATAAATCAATAAATAAACAGACATGATATTAAAAAAAGACAAATATGTTTCAAACTAGCATTGTATTCACCCAAATCATTATTCTATCATAGTTCACAAAATGCTCAGATAACATTCCAGAAGTAAGCACTTATATAAACATTTAAAAGGACAACATATATAAACATTCCAGAAGAAGAATAGTTTACTTTCGCAACACGAAACTTAAAATCGCAACGCGAAATGACTATCGCAACACGGAAATGGCTATCGCAATGCGAAATGAAAATCGCAACGACAAAATCGCAACGCGAAATGAAATCGCAACGACAAAATCGCAACGCGAAATGAAAATCGCAATGCGATTTGTGTTTCGCGTTGCGATTTTGTCGTTGCGATTTCATTTCGCGTTGCGATTTTGTCGTTGCGATTTTCATTTCGCATTGCGATAGCCATTTCCGCGTTGCGATAGTCATTTTCGTGTTGCGAAAGTAAACTATTCTTCTTCTGCAAATTGAAACTTGAATGGATTGCATTACTTCAACCAAAAGACAAAACAAAACCAAAAACAAATACTAACAAAAACAGATTGGCAGCAACCGAATGAATTACGAGTATGAAAAATCTTAAACTTACCTCGTTGCGTAGAGTATGAACCTCATTCTGCAACGATGCTACCATCTCACGTAGAGCGGCTACCTCACCGCGTAATGTAGACACCTCAACACGCCATGCACCATCGTCTTTGCGTAAAGTACCGACCTCCTCACGCAAGGCATTGACCTCATCACGTAACTCCCCTAACTCATCCCGTTGAGGTGGAGGTGGAGAACAGGGAGATAAACGTCGTGACATCTTTGCCGGTCGCCTATCTTGCGGTGATGGTGGAGAAGAGGCTCGATGATGTGAAAGAATAGGTGATGGCTGTCGTTGTGGAGGTGTATAGCCGGGTCGATCAGATGATGGCTCTAGGTGAGGTGATAGCTCTGGGCGAGGTGATGGCTCCCGAAGTGGAGGCTGCTCATCAACCGTTCCATCAAAAAACGCTTACTAGCTTGCCACCAATCAGTGGCAAGCTCAGCTTCCGTGGGTGTCAGCCTCTGTAGAGGAGTGTTGGCCTCCTAACAATATAAAAGCTTAAACAAGGTTAAATGTGTACTATTAATAACTTGTTTATAAACATATGGTAGTATTTATGTTAACTTACATTATTTATTGTCGTATACCGTAGTAAATCTTCCCATTGCAAGGTTCGTTTCCTCTTCCAGGAAATAGCCCTGGGAATATTATTTGAAGTTTTTATTGCATATGTCTTCATGGCGGGAAAGGTCTCAAATATCCAAATCTACAAACAATATAATAACAAACATTAGTAATTGTTAAATAATTACTTATAATTTTGGAAACATTATATAAAAATTCTTACCTTAAAGGCCCAAATAAAGCCTGTCAAAGTGTATTTGGAACCATCACCATGCAAACTTTTTCGATCATCCAAGGCAGACGATAACTTATTCCATGTAGCTTTCCATAAATACGAGCCCCATGGAAACAGGTTCCACGCATTTAGGTCTTCTACCAATTTGATTAGATCATTTGGAATAGGTTGTCTGGCCTCTCTGCCTAAAAAGCCGGCATGCAAAAGAATTAGAAGGCATACTCGGACAACGTCGACGTCATCCATCCGAGTAAAACCATCTTTATTATTCAAAAATCTTGTCAGGTCTTCTACGTGTAGACTCGGCCTCTCCAGCTCAGGGAAAACCCGGGATAGCCATGATGGGCGGGTAATGTGTCTAGTGTACCGACCTAAATCATCGTGTCCGAAGCGTAGACCGGTGATTAAGCAAAACTCCTCCCGCCCAAAACACGTATACGCCGGTGGAAAATCAAACCATATCTCTTCATCACGACGTTGTATAGTCTCTGGTAGATCTCTAGTCATGGTTTGAAGAAACAGGTGTGTCAACATCGCATCTCCACCGGGATGTTGTACTTTCAGCCATGGCCCGAAGCATGTATCCTCAAACATTTTTCTTTGTGCATGTGAAAGCTTCGACGCAATTGTTTTGGCCAGGCTGACTTTATTTCTCAAGGTCAATTGAGCCGAATAAAAGTTCTACAAAAACAATAAACATACTAAATTAGATATACCAAAAACTACACTGTGAAGATATACCAAAAACAATAATAAACATAAATAGTAGTAGTTTATTCTTCAAACTTAAATATGCAACACTGTGAATTTCGTATTTGTCTTTGTTTTTTGGTTGAAGTAATGCAATTCATTCAAGTTTCAATTTGCAGAAGAAGAATAGTTTCTGAAAATGAAAATCGCAACACGAAAATGACTATCGCAACGAGAGAATCGCAACGCGAAACTAAAATCGCGTTGCGATTTGCATTTCGCGTTGCGATTCTTGGTTGATTTAATAAGCAATCTAAGTGAAATGGTTAATCTATTATTGAAATTACCAGTAAACCTATCATCAATTTCAATATGAAAAACCTAATAATAATGCAAAAATTTCAAAAAGAAAATAATTAAAAAAACTAACCCTCGTTGGTTGATTTGGTTGATTTTCCATTTCTGATTGTGAGGGTGGCTCTGAGAGATTTAGATAGACGGATTTCGCCGGAGATGGGGACGGATTTCGTCGGAGATGGGTGAGAGAGTGAGAGATGGAGATGGGACTGAGTTGTGATTTTAGGTTTTAGGTTATGAGTTGCGATTATGGGATATACTGTGGACAGTTCAGTGTTCCAATATATTTATATTCATGTTTGGAATTTAAAAATAAAATACTTGGCCAGGATACTAATGGCGCTTTGAAAATCGCATTGCGATTATGTATTATCGCATTGCGAAAGTCAGTATCGCGTTGCGAAAGTAAGTATCTCGTTGCGATTTTTTATTATCGCATTGCGATAGTCAGTATCGCATTGCGATTTTCCCAATTCGCGTTGCGATTTACTTATTCGCATTGCGATTTTCCCAATTCGCGTTGCGATTTACTTATTCGCATTGCGAATTTCCCAATTCGCGTTGCGATTTACTTATTCGCATTGCGAATTGGGAAAATCGCAACGATACTGTAGACCATCGCAACGCGATTTTCAACTATCGCATTGCGAAAATGCAACGCGAATTTGCGATAATGGAGATCGCGTTGCGAATTAGCGATCACATTGCGATTTTGTTGGTCATTTTGGCAAATCCGGAAAAAGTTGGTTAAAATCGTATATTATATGGGATTTTTGGTCACTGAGGTTATTTTCTCTAAATTTTAGGTAGAAAAAATAACATTTTATGTAACACTCTGTAAGAAATATTAAAAAAATATTAACATTTCCAATAACGTTTTTTCTTAACCTTAAATTAAGTTGTGATTCCTTATAATCCCGATTCTTTCTCTCTCTTTTTCTTTTCTTTGACCAGATGTTCAGGTCAGGTGAGACAACAGGGGAAATTGATGATTTCTGCGTTCATCCCCCCATTAGCATAAAATGTTTGTCTATTTCTACGATCTATTTGTTCTTGTTTTTCAAGTGTTATTTCAACTCGATAATATTTTTAATTAAAAATTATTGATACATTTTCTAAAATTAATTATAATAATATTTTTTATATTTCTATATAATCTTTAATTAAATCAAATTTTTGTACAAATTTTTAACATTATAGCTGTGTCCATTTGTTGATTAAATTTTTATGAGGCATTTTATTCATTTACATAGATATAACAAAAAATGATGTTTATATAAATTTTATGACTTTGTATTATATTTTTATTCTAATTTAACTTATAATTTCACATACTGATTTATTTACATAACATATATTTTGTTCAAATTCATGATGATAAATTCAAATAATAATTTAATATTTTATGCAAATCATGTTTAATTTTTTTTTTGTATTTATTTTATTTAATCTCATATTTTTTATATACTTTATTGTAGTAATATAGAATTTATCTTACTTAAAAATGCTAAAATAATAATAATTTTTTATGAATAAAAGTAACTTTTATTATAAATCATTGTGATAGCATGAACTCTATTTTATTTTGATTACTAAGTGTTTGTATTTATTATTGGACGAAAGTTAACTTTGAATACTCTTTGCTTTTGTTATATATTAAGTGTTCTTTTATTTGCTTTATATCTATTGAATCTGAGTAGTGATAAGTACGGAAATAACATCATTGTGATAACATAGGATGTGCTGGTGAAAGTCACTTTAACTGCAACAGAAGGAGGGTAGGATGTGTGTACTTTACTTATTATATATAACCTAGAAGGGAATGATGCTTAAGTAGTAAGCTTTAATATATGCAAATAATTGTTATGCTTAGTTATTTGTTGTGCTTCATTTATCTATGGTCAAAATACATTAGCTAGCTAGCTTGATGTGTGTCTCGATTTGTCTGATGAGTGTTCCAATACATTAATTTCTATCTTTTTTTCTTATTTGTTTTTACTGTCTTCGTAATACTCGCCCTCACAATCATCTCTTACAACTCTCACTTTTAAGATTTTCTTTTATAGAGTTAGACTTAGCAACACTAACCCCATTAGCTTCTTTCCCTGTGGGTTCGACGTATTTAGCCGGGAGACTATCTCTATTATGCAATCGATGGATGTGCGCTTGCACCTATTGCGAACACATATCTGTCGATCACCATCAATTCACATGTGCTGGCACTCCACAACAAAATGATATAACTTGAAGGAATACTAGGCATTTGAATGAATAATGTCGAAACTAGTTTGCTTCATGCAAGAAACATTCCAGATCATTTTTAGGCAGAAGCAATGAAAGCTGTAGCTTTTGTGACCAATATACTTCCTTAACAAAGGTTATATTTTCTTTCACCTTTTTGAAAAATTATGAAAAATGAAACCAACAATTAGTTGTTTCTGAGTTTTTGAAAGTGTTTGCTATGTATTTGTATATGACTACTTATGTAGCAAAATGGACAAAAAAGTTGTTAGATATATGTTTGTATAGTATGACAACTAGAGAAAAGGCTAAAGATGTTGTGATCCTACAATTGAAAAATGCTACATGTCCCGCAATGTGGTGTTTGATGAAGCATCTTTATGGTGGTCTTAAAAAAAAGAGTTATTACCAAACTCATATACTTTTAAAAGAGATTTATAATCTTCCAAATTTCAATTGAGTCCATTGATTGAAGATGGCGAGTCTAGTGAAATAAAAGAACCAATACCACTTGAAAGATCAACAAAGATCAGAAACCCAAATATAAAATACGCCAACGCTATCGTAATTGAAAAATATGATATAGAAGAACTATAAACTTTTAAAGAAGCTTCTCAGAAGGTAGAGCAGATTGTAGCAATGAGAAATGAGATTGTTGCACTTTATCAAAATCAAATTTTGGAAATGCCGCACATATGGTTCGATTGATTTTCTCAACAATATGGACTAGACTATGATGAAACATTTAGTTCAATGGCAAAGCTTACAATTCTCTAACTCCTACTAACATTAGTAGTTAGTAAGAATTGAAATCTAAGACAAATGGACATGAAGAATGCATTTTTGCATGGGGAGTTAGATCATGAGATTTACATGGATCAGTCAATGGACTTTTGAAGTCAATATCATTCTGATTATGTCTACAAGATTTGAAAGACACTTTATGAATTGAAGTAAACATTCAGGGCTTATGTAGAAAGATAGTTTAATTTCTAACTTATAGTGGTTAATACGTGACTCCTTCATATTCCAGACTGTTTGTGAAAACATATGAAGAAAAACTAGTTATTGTGCTAGTATATGTGGATGATTTAACCATGATTAGAGATTATGAGGAAAAAAATCTTTGAACTATGAAGAATTTATCAATTCGCTTCCAAATGAAAAAGTTTCGACAACTTAGACATTTCCTTAGTCTGAAGATTGATCACACCAAGGACGAAATTTTTCTCCATCAAAGAAAGTATTCTAATGATTTATTAAAATGTTAAAAATATCAATTGTAAGCCAATTTCTATGTTGATGGAACCAAATGTCAAAATTTATGATAATGAAGGGAAAAATTTAAAGGATGGTACAA